CAAAGCTGTATGTGCAAACAAAGCCAAAGAGAGAGTGAATTCCCTATTTCCCAGCAGCAGGTGGATGTTCAGCCATTTCCAGGAGGGCAGGACTTCATCCCATGGGATATTTGGGAGGACAAATGCCATCACTCAAATCATCGTCCTCCCTCCCTCTTGACCCCATTTTTACTGCTGAGCTGACACTTCACAGTATGGAATGATCATCTTCATCTATAAACTGGAATTTAATTTTTTTAATTGCTGTGCTATAGACTCAACCTAAAGGCAACTTGGTTTTGTGAAATTCTAGGATTAACCCAAAGCTCAGTGGGCTGCCTGTAGAATGGAAGGGCACTGGACCACTCCCTGAGGGTGGGGGGAAATGCTTCCTCCTATCAGAGGTGTGAGAGTTATTAAATTCCTTAAAATCGAATTCCTTGTGTAATTCCCAATAATCCTCCCATACTGATCTGGATCACCCAATGCACAAAGCAACCCCTAACCCTACTTTGCAAGAGGGAAGAAAGAGTGTCTGGGATAAGATAGAAGATTTTATATGCCTGCAGAGAGCTTCTGCAATCTGAATTAAATTCTGACATTGTTCACTGAGTACCTTTAATAATAGAAAATATTTTAATATTGTTGAAAATATATCCAGAGGAGCTGAGCACAAACTCTCCTCACAGTTCATTTCTTTTCCAGGCTGGAGCAGCTCCCAGCAACTATTAGTTAGGCATGCTGATTATACCTATATAATATTATATATTAATTATATATTATATATTTATTATATATTATATAATATTGCCTGAAGACTGCAAATTCAGCTTCTAATCTGGAAGAATGATTGACCATAGACAGTTTTGGTGTTCTACATCAAGTTCTTCTCAGGTCTCTTTGGTATTTATTTTATTTGGTCTCACTTTTAGGTCCCATTAAAACATTCCAAAGATGTCTTCTCATTTAGTACTGTCATTTATTTACTGTTTTCTACAGTTGGATGGGTGACTGCTGACTCTTGGAAGTTGTGGATAACCCAGGATCGGAAGTTTTCTCCAAGTGTTGTCTGTACATAAAATTAAAGTTTAACAAACTCAAGGTACCATTACCCATTAGCAGAGGGGTGTGTCCCTAAAGCACAGTGGGAATGGATGAATTAACTCAAGCAAACTCTAATTTGTGCCACCTTTTCCAGGAGATCAGCAAAAGTCTGCAGCAGAGATCCTCTGCAGTGGAATATTGTCACCCACTCCTGTCCTAGAAGAGGGTGTGGAAGATAAAATGCAGGTAACAAAATACAGGTCTCAGACTGACAGCAGGGAACAAGGGAAGGGCAACATCAATAGATGGAAAAGTGATTTTTGCAGCTCTCCTCAACCCAAAACTCAGCATCTCACCCATTGTGAGGCAATAAATTGCATGGAGAGATATCTACAATGATAGGGGTTAAGCCTTTCTAAATAGAAGCCAAACAATCAGGTGGTGCTTTACTTAAAATTATCTGCCACAAAGAATTTTTTTTCCCTTTACAGAAAACTGATTAGGCACAAATCAGCTGATATTTGATTGAAGTTAGCCTCTAATAGAACAGTTAAATGTGTTGGTCTTGTTCACAAATGGCTTTGTGATTTTAGGCTTTTGATCCAAAATATTGTCAGATTGTTATCACTGCTGAAATTCTGATTGTATTTCTTTGCTTTTGTGTAGCTATTTACCCACAAAGAGTCCAACTTTATGAAATCTTTATAGAAGGCTTGTGCAGATTTTGCTTATAGCAAATCTAAACTGAAGGTTTTAAATCTGGAGAGGATTGTTGTTCCCTCTCCCCCCTCCCTCACTCCCAATTATATTGTCAGAGGATTTTGTATTGCAGAAACAACACAGAAATTCAGAGTTACAATAAGGGAAAGAAATGAGCCAACCCCGGTTTTTAATTTCCAAAGTTATATCCCATGAATTTAGCTGACATTAATTTTGGCAGCCTGGCAGAATCCTGTGGACGTGGATTTTTCTTGGAGATTGTTTCCCAAGTTACTCTAGGTATGAATGGCTTCTCTTGATTAATTTTAGTTTATAAATCTAAATAAATGTAGCCTTGGAACATTTGGTACTTCACAGCACCATTCTGTGGTGAGCAGAAACATCTGATTTCCACCCCCACCCCTGTACTTTCTGCACAGAGTTGTAAAGGATTCCTTGGGAGTGTGGAGATAAACCTGAATAAAGCAGAACTTGAATTGCTTTTTAGGGCACGTCATTTTAATGTGAGGCCTGAAAGGCATGGTCAGGAAACTTGTGCAGGGTCTCCCAAAAGGCTGAGAGGAACAGACAGGAATTCTTGAGAGGAGCACCAGAGACAAAGTGAGAGCACAAACTGAGACCTGGCCTGTAATCCAGGGAATTCCCCTCATTGCAATAGCAAAGGCTCCATCAGAANCTCTAAAATGTGTCATTTTTGTTGCAGACACTGGGAAGTGTTCACAAGGATTAGCAGCCAGCAATTGCTTCCATAAACACTTCAGCTGGTAGGAGACTGAATGGGAATTGGTGCAGGAATACAGCAGTGAGTAAAACACTTGACACCAGGAATTAGTAATTTCAAATACTGAATAAATCAGCAAATAAACACCTTCAGCATGTGCCTGCAGGCTGTCCCTTGCAGCAGGCCCTTCAATTTGGGATCATCAATCTACTTGATGAAGGTTGGTCTCTCCTCTCTATTGAATCATCCAATGTTTACTGTCCCTCAGCTTCCTTCCATTTTTAGAATTACTCTCAGGAATAAAATGAGAATTTACTGTCAGCTTTGATGTTCAAGTGTATCCTGTTGAGCCTGCTAGGCCTGGCTGGGAGGCAGAAAAACAGGGTCTGTTTTGATCCCTGCTGAAAACAAGATGAAGAAGGAGGCAAAAATAAATCAACAAAAAAACCTTCCAAGTGGAGTTTAGTTTGTGCAAAGTCAGCTTGGGAAAAATTGATCTATTCCATCCTCAATTAATGAATACCAGCTGCATTAAAAACAGAAACCACAAATGCACCACCCAAAATCAAACCTAGCTCTGGTAATATCTGTGGTGAGGATACTTAAAAAAAATAAAATACAAGAATTTTGCATTCTTTTCAGTTTTACCACTGGCAGATTTCCTTTCCCAAGATAGGTTTGACTAAAAGTATAAAAGCTGGCATCAAGAAAAGAGAGAGGCTCATCCTGCACCTGTTAGGTGCAAGGGTTGATGTGACAGAGGGTTGACAGGGTGAGGCCCCAGCACCCACTCTTGTGACAGACATCACTGAAATGAAATCCTGAAAACTTTAAGCACAGCAGAAGCTCCAATGTGTAATGTACAAGCCGGGTACAAAGTCAGCTCAAGTTAATTTCCAATCTATCCATGGGCATCTTTCCATTGTCTTCCACAGCACTGCTAACAGGTGGCCAGGCAGTGGGAGAAGTCCTTGGAGCTGGAGGGTGAGAGGCAGAGGATTGCCATGGAAGAAGATCTGACTGTCTCTGGGACATTTCCAGCAGAGAATCCTGGATTTAGGAGCCTGTGAGTTCCAAAGTGCATCCCCTGGAGTTGCAGAGCAAAGCCTTGCTGATCATAACTGCAGCAGAGTGTGGAGCTGAGGGAAGATTTGAAGCAAGAGCTAGGCTTGGGTGCTGCCATTTGCCAAGGAGAAGCTGCAGAGATGAAGAAAGAAGAGGTATTTAATTGGGGTTTGGAAACTTAGGATGAAAATGACTGACCTACAAAAAAAAAATTAAAAAGGGAGAGGGTTAGACAGAAAAAAAATCTCTATTCGAAATATTTCATGCAACTTGAAACAAAACCATTTGTAATAATTTTCCCCTATTTTCGCCTCTTTTTCAGCCTGAGTCTGAAGCCAAGCCCCAGCTAGCAATGCCCACATGGGCTGCTGCTGCATTTCCCTGCTGGAACTCGAAAGCGCCCACATTGTTTCCACACTTCCCAAATGTTCCCCCTCCGTTTATTTTTTCATCCCGTCTGTCCCCCGGCTCCCCCTGCCGCCCTTTCCAGCTGAAGTTTGTGTCATCTGTTCCCGGCGGGTTCCTTTTTTTAACTCGCGGGGCTGCACCAGCCTGGGAGCGCCGCAGGTGTGGGGTGTGCCCGCGCCCCGCCCGCAGCATGGGGACACCCAGGTGGGCATGGGGACAGACAAGTGGGCATGGGGACACCCAGGTGGGCATGGGGACAGACAGGTGGACAATGGAGACAGACAGGTGGGCATGGGGAAACACAACCGGGAAATGGGGACATCCAGGTGGGCATGGGGACAGACAGGTTAGCAATGGGGACATCCAGGTGGGCAATGGGGACATCCAGGCCATCAATGGGGACAATCAGGTGGGCAAGGGGACATCCAGGTTAGTAGTGGGGACATCCAGGTGGGCATGGGGTCAGACAGGTTAGCAATGGGGACACCCAGCCGGGAAATGGGGACATCCAGGTTAGCAGTGGGGACACCCAGCCGGACAATGGCGACATCCAGGTGGGCAATGTGGGCAAGCAGCTGGGCATGGGAACACCCAGGCGGGCAATGGGGGCACCCAGCCCTGTCCGGCGGCCGCGGAGCGGGGCTGGGATCCGCCGGGCGATGCAGGTACGCAGCCGGGCAATGCGGGCACCCAGGGGGGCATGGGGACACCCAGGCAGGCAATGCGGGCACCCAGGCGGGCATGGGGACACCCAGGCGGGCAATGCGGGCACCCAGGCGTGCCCAGGATCCGCCGGGCATGCGGAACGCGGCTGCCAACCTGCCGGGCTCGGCCCTGCCCGCGGGGCGGGGAGCGCAGCCTGGGGATGGATGATCCGTGCTGATGCTCGGTGGCGATGCTGGGTGGAGGAGAAGGAGGAGGAGGAGGAGGAAGAGGAGGAGGGGGGAGCTGGCGGGACAGCCTGAGGTGGGCGGAGGGGGGAGGCGGGTGTTAAACCATCGCTCCGGGGAGGGCTGAGCATTTGCAAATTCCGGCTCCAGAGCGCGGGGAGCATCCTACAAGGCACGCCGGGCCGCCAGCAGCGGCAGGGCACGACGAGGCTCCCCGGCTCCCCGGGATCCCCAGCGCCTCCTCCCCGGCCGGCCGTGCCCTGCCCGCGCTCCCGGAGCCGCAGCATCCGCCCGCAGGCAGCGCTGAGCGCAGCCCGGCCCCTGTCCCCGGCGCCAGGCACGGGCACAGCCCTGGGTGAGTAATCCCGGAGCTCCCCCGCTCCTCCGGGCAGGCCACGGCCATCCCAGCCCTTCTGCACATCCCCGAGCGCGCCCGGGCTCAGGTGGACGGGCAGCAGATGCCTGTCCTCTGGTAGGTCAGTCGGGCTGGGATCCTTGCCTGGGGAGGGATGTTTGAAAGGCTTCCCTCTCTGCTCGGAAGTTACCTGTGTCCACTTGGAATAACTCCTTCTTCTGCACAGAACCTTCTCTCTTCCCCCCACCCCTTTCTTTTCCTTTTCCCCCTGCTTTACAACTTTTCCAGCCTTGTGGAGTTGCCTCCCTCATTCTCACCCGCAGATTTCCATGGGTAACAAGAAGCCAATGCCAGCCTGGGAGATTTCAGTCGTTGAAGATCAGTACCAGCAAGTGTCTTAACACACCTGTGTGTTTTTCTTTTGTTCTCCACTAGGCTGAAAAGTCATGACAGCTGAAAAGACTATTCCTATAATTAATGGCAAGCCAGAAGACGCTTTGGACCCAGAAGCCTCAAGCACCAACCTCGTCCACAGCAATGATAAGAAAGTTCATGAAAGAGGCCACTGGAACAATAAGGTCGAATTTGTGCTTTCTGTGGCAGGGGAGATTATTGGGTTGGGAAACGTCTGGAGATTCCCATATCTTTGCTACAAGAATGGAGGAGGTAAGATGGTATCACGTGTGGATTTCCATGGGAATTAAGCACGGGAAAGAAACAGTTAAGAATGCCTTGCAGTGATTTATTGCACTAGTAAGAGATACGTGGTCAGGATTTCAGTGCATGTGCAGACAGGGAAGCATTAAACATCTGACAACTAAGAAAAATCGTTGTGTTTCTCTTTCCTTCCCTCCAAACACTGTGTGGTTTATTTTTACAAGTTTCTGTTGCGTTAGTAAATGGACATGTTTTTTTTCAGTAGCGTTTTTCATGCAGGAGAAGCCAGTGTTCTGTTATAGTAGCACACGCTGTCTTCTGCATGTGAATACACACCCTGGCATACTTAACTAAGTTTGTCTGACACAGAAACGAAGGCAGCACTTTATTTGTCACAACAGTCTACTTTGGAGAGGATGAATATAATTTTTTCTAATAATGCCACAAAGACTCAATATATTTTCTTTAAATTTTTTATACCTCAATGCTCTTTTTTTCCCCTCGGTACTTCCCAATTCCTGCAGCAAGGTAGGGGAAGATATAAAACTGCAGGTTACTCAAAGAAGAGAGCAAGCCCTAATAAATATAAAATATGAATGTTATTTGAGAGAGAAAAGAGCAGGCTCGACTTCTGCAGGAGTATAACATGTGGCATGTATTGGTTATAGCCAACTATAAACTGTATAAGATAAATGACAGTTGAGAATAAGCACATCAGCTGTGACTTGGGCAGCAATTAAGAAAGAAAAGTAAATTACAAACTCAGTTTAGAATTCTGTGGACTGGGTTCAACATTCTCCCCACTTAAGGCCTGAGTCAATGGCACTGTAAACACAGAGGCTGGAAGAAAAATAGGATGTTCAGGGCTGTGATAAGCACTGATCTGCTTTTTGATGGGTTTGTTTGCTGTGCCAAATTTCCATTCCTTGTCCCTCCTTATCTGAACTCAGGGGTGGTTTTTTAGCCCGTTTCGTGTGCTGTTTCTACAAAACAAGTCCTGCACTGCAAGTTGTGTTTATCATTGGAAGTTCCTTTGTTTATGTCTCTGTATTTTGGCCAAACTTAGGTAACGAGAGTTCAGCTCTTTAGAGAATGCTGCTACCAAATCCTGAATATTAACACGCTGCACATCATATTCTCAACCCTTTCTTGATGGTCAAAGTGCTCCCAGAAAACTTTTGGCAGAGGAAATGACAGGAATGTATTTTTGGTGTGTAATTTTCTGGGTCCTATAGCCACCTTTAGGTGCCCGTTTGTAGGTGTGTGCCAGCTTGTCAAAAGGTGATGCTATCATTTTTAAAGCTGTAACACAAGGTAGAAAATATTTTATTCATTGGTTTTGGGTGATTTGATGAAAAAGTGGTTACTTAAATATCATATTTAATCAACACTGTATTCCTTAAGAATAGAATGTGATTTAATTGGTCGTGTCCTGGCACCATGGGATATTTGCCATTGACCAGTTTTAGTCAATGAAGGCTCAGTCTATGACCTGTGGCTTTGTAACCCCCTGCTGGAATTAGAGCAGAGTTTGTTTTTAGTGCTTAAATCTGATGCATCCAACCCTTTGGTGTGTGCTAGGGGAAGACAGTGGTAAATATCTGAGCTAGTTGTGAAATAAATTGCTTTTTAAAGAACAAATCTACAAGTTGTAGTTTGGAACTTGTGAAGGTGTGACCTCTCTGGCACCTACTCCAAGTCATAACAGGGAGTGTAGGAATAATCATCCATAATTTTAGGTTGTGGATGTTCAGGTTGTGATGAAAATGAATTTCTTTGTGTGTTTAGAATTAGGTATTTCTTGGAATACAGTGTTGGAAAAAGAGTCCAAGTTGATAGTTTGGATTTCCACAGGTTGCCATGTTAAACTCCCACTGATTGTGTGTATGAGAGGGCCAAGCTGGATTTGCTACAGGCCAGTAAATTGTCCAGAGAAGCCATGCAAGTATTCCATTATTTATGGAATCCCTATGGATTGCTGGAGAGGCACCTGGCATTCATCTCTAGGCAAATTTCCTGGCTGAGGGAAGAGACTCCTGGTGATGAAAGAACTGCCAGTCAGAGCAGGTGGATGTAGTTGTGTCAACCTTCTAACCAAGGTGACTGAAGCAGCTCAGCTGTTGCAGGATTTGGGTGTGCTGTGTTTGGGCTTTGCTGTGCTTCACTACTTGTGTTGGAATTTACTGTCAGCATCCAACAAAAATACTGATGCTTTGTTATTTTCCTGGAATTTCACATCAATATTTCTGGCTGATAAGGCCAGGCCCTGCTTCCCTGTCCTTATAAGTAGTTCTGAAGTTTGTTTGCTCATTGCCTTTTCACAATCCTTATCATCAGGCTCATATAAATAACACAAAAAGGATTTCTCAGATTTAATATCTGTAATGTTTCCTCACCCCTGGAAAAGCAAGGAAGGTGGAGCAGACTGACATGGTGCTGAGCTGAGCATGGCTGGGATCTTTTCTGTGTTTCAGAGACTCCTGAGCTGACTTTATGCTGAGGAACTTTGATCTGGTCTGTTTTAGTCCCTGGCCCTGGCTTACAGGTTCACTTTGGATATTTGGGGCAGGAGTATAAACCTTTCCTGCACTGCACTGGTGGCTCACAGCTGATCCTTCCTTTGCTGGGAAAATCGTCACTGTGCTGCTGAGGAGCCCTGCTCATTGTAACCAACACCTCTCAATATTCACCTGCAGGTGCTTTCCTCATCCCCTACGTGGTCTTCTTTATTTGCTGTGGAATACCAGTATTTTTCTTGGAGACAGCCTTGGGACAGTTTACAAGTGAAGGAGGCATCACATGCTGGAGGAAAGTTTGCCCTCTCTTTGAAGGTAACAGTTCTGTGTTCTACTGCAAGAGAAACCATTTATTTCATTTTACTTCAAATTGAATGCTATCAAAATTGAAGATGTACTTAGGAGTAAGCATTTGTTTTTAAATTACATACAGCCTGAAAAGCAGAAGTTTTGTATCTCACTTCTTCTTTTGCTCCTCCAGGCATTGGCTATGCTACCCAAGTTATAGAGGCACACCTAAATGTATATTACATCATCATTTTAGCATGGGCTATCTTCTATTTGTTCAACTGCTTTACTACAGAGCTTCCCTGGGCTTCCTGTGGCCACGAATGGAATACAGGTATGACCTCAGCAGAGATCTCCACTATAGAAATCCTGCCAAGTGATTGATTCATATATTGAAATGTCCTGAATAAAGCTATTGGTGTAGCAAAGTCTGTGGAAATGGGCCAATCTCATCCCACTACAGCAAGAGAAAGGAAATCTGGAGTGAAACTGCCTTGGACCTTTTTGAGTTAGGTCATTGTAAAGCATTTACTCCTCTAGAATAGAATGTCAGCAGAAAAAGACTATGGGTTTGTTAATTCTGTAAGATCTTCTGGCTAAATCCCAAGACTCTCATTTGCAATCATATCTATTCTCTGTGAACACAGTGAGTGAATTCTGCAGCAGAGAATGACCTGATGACAGGTTGCAATCTTGCTCTTTCACTCTAATGAAATCAGGAGGAGTTTGAATGGAGAGGGAAAAATATTAAATGTGAATCTCTGGATTTGCTCTTTTAAATGCCAGATGTTGAGGGATAATGTTCATCAAGCTACTTCTGGAAATTTAGTCTCATAAATAATCCTTGCTGCATGTAAAGCAGCCTCCTGCATGAAGGATGAGGTGTGCATTCAGAAGGGTTTGTGGGGTAGGGCTCTGCATCTGTCCTCTCATTGATATTTATATCTGTCATTCTCTGCTTATTGAGTCTGTAGATCCCCAACATCCATGGGGAGGATCTCATCCCAGTGCCCTTGTTCCCACATTCCTGAAGTTTTAGCATTTATCCTGTATATACAGTCCAATTTCAAATCAAGTATCCATTATATTGCCTTTCATAGTTTTCACTAATTGGCCATTTGTTGTGTTCTCTGAGCACACCTAAAGCTGTCTGAAATCTTATTTTCAGTCAGAGAGGTAATTTTGGTCCCAGTGGATGTGGAAAGCTTTGCTATCAACTTTGGCAGCCCTGCAGAGGAGCTTGGCCAGCATTGTCACTGCTCAAACTCTGCACAATGCTGAGCTGCTTTGGCCTTTGTGTTAGAGATAATAATAATAATAATAATCATAATGATGAGCCAGGGGAAATATCCACTTGCCCTAGTGGGAGTTTATGGCTGGCCATGTTCCATGAGCTGTTTGTAGCCATAAACCATGGCACCAGCAGCTGCAGTAGGGGCACGTTGTAATTCCCAATGCTCAGTTTCTCAACGTTTCTTTCTTCTGCCTGAGGTGATTTTTTGGCCCTATGCCTTTGGGAAGTGTTGTGGGAGAGCCCTGATGGATGTTTTTCTGGGTTATCATAACCTGGTGTTGCAGGAGTAGCAGCTGTGGCATTTAGTGCACCCAGAAACCCTTGAACCCCACCCAGAAAATGTGGGGTAGAACGGGGGCTTTCCAAGGTGCACAAACTGGGACACGAACAAGAACTGTGCTTGCATGTCAACATAGCAAACTTTTTTTTTTTTTTTTTTTTTGTTCTTTCCTAGAAAACTGTGTGGAATTTCAAAAACTTAACATGAGCAACTGCAGCCAAGTCTCTTTACAGAATGCCACTTCTCCAGTGATGGAATTCTGGGAGTAAGTGCACAAAAACTTTTTATTTGATCAGACTATTCATTACCTTGCAATGATTCGATGCTTTACACCTCGTAACCCTATAGTACTTAGGGATGTGAGTTCAGCTGGAAATTTTCCTATCCAGCCACAGTCAGAAGGAGAGTTTTTAACTCTTTTTTTTTTTAGGGGATACAAGGAAAGGAATTCCATATCCTGAAAGGACATAGAACAAAGTGTGCCACTTGCTCGGGAGCTTGGCTCCTGCTGCTGGAGGAAAGAGCCTCCAACCCATACTAATGAGGAGGCAAAGGTGAAAGAAAGAAGATGATTTACAATATTCCTTTTTCCCTCCCCCCCACTTTTTTTTTTTTTTCCCCCCAAATGTTTCTTCCCTTAGGAGTTTGAGAGCTGTATCCTCATCCTTGTTTCAGCTAACTAAATACTCTGGCTTCTGGATCTCATTATTTTTTAAAGGACTGTGTAAGTGTTAGTTATTCAGCCAGAATAACAGGAGAGTTTAACTCTCTCCTGTCCCCCTGACTCTGATTTCTAGTCAGACTAAGGGAAGAAAATCAGATGTTTGCAAAAGATGATCTGCTTTTGTGGTGACATCTTTTTTCTGACTATAAATATTTAATCAGTGCAGTGTAACCTCTCATTTGTTCCTTGCAGGGTGTAGTGTGTGTTAAGCCAATCAGAGAAATGGAATGTTACTTTGAATTCTGAGTGACTTCACAATTCAAAGCCTGTTACACAATTCTGGGTTACTACAATTTCTTGAGGACCCATTAATTTTATTTTTAAGACAGAGCCTTATTCTGATGTTGTTTTGTGTTCAGGGCAGCTGCACTTTAAAGAGCCAGGAATTAAAATTCCTTGAAGGGAGAGCTCTACATTGACATAATTTCCATGAATCTTAGGACATGCTGTGGTCTGCCTGAATCTCTTTTTCTTGCTACATCAGTAAACTCAGGCTTCATGAGTTGTTTCAGCAGATTTTCTTTAAAAATAAAATGCTCCTTCCCTCAACTAAACTAAACCTGAACAATATGAGAGACACAGGGACTCTCTGGGTAAAGCTGAAATTTTATTTTCTGTTAAAATTTTCAATAATCTGGGCACCTTACATCTTAAATCGAAATCTATCTATTCCAATGTTTCAGAATAAACAAGACTTTCTCAGGTGGCATCTCTTAATGCTACAATTACATTTTATTTTAGCAGAAATCTCTTATGGTGCTTTGGGCTAACGAGAATTAAGTCTTAGTAGAATAAATGAACAACATATTTTCTCAAGTATTAGCCAATTTACCCCCTGCATTTATATGGTTTTTCAGCAATATTCCCAGCTTGGCTACTGATGGTAACTCCAGTTATCCAGAGAAGTAGGAAATGTTTATTCTCAATTCTGTGGAGGGCACAAAGTTTTATTCTCTCATATTTCTATGGTTTTGTGGGTTTTGTGTTAGTGCTCATCTCTGGATTGCCTGAATTCCTGTGTTGGTGTTATTTTGAAGCACATACAAATCCATTTTAAGCACATCCCTTCTCAGAAATCTCTGGAAATGAAGCTAAACAAGATTGTGTAAGCTCAACTTGCAATCAAGTTGCAGTGGGTTTAAAAGCCTTCAATTTTGGGGCATATTTCCCTACCTGATTTTGGCTAAATCAGGAATAAATTATGAAACCAGAAGGGATAATCAGATTCAGCCTTTTCTCTATCTGGTTTTACAGTCTTGGCTATAAAAAGTTGAAAATACACATTCCAAACCTTTTAAAATCACAAACATCAAATTAAAAAAAAAATTAAAAAGGTAAATTACATAATCTATTATTTATTTCAAACGTCTTTCTTTATTGTGTCACAGACAAAATTTTTGCAACACTAAGAGTTTGCTGGCCAAAATAACTTAAGATATTAAACTTATCTACTTTTTCTGTCCAAGCAAAACTGGAGCTGCATAGTTTTGCACATGGAAAATAAATGTACTCTCTTCCTGCTAAGGAAGGTGTTTGCCTTGTTTGAAATTTAGTTTATGGCGTTGCATGGCTTCAAAATAAATAATAATAAAAAAACTAGTTTCAAAGTGGAAGAACGAGCCTTATTAAAAAATCAAGATTTGATTTTTGCCTTGAAATAACTCATTGGAATTAAGATAATAATTAAATTATTTGTCTTAAATATCAGACACAAAAGCACAGCAGGGTCTTTCTGTATAAAGAGCAGACGGCAGAGCAGTTAACACAAAGTAAATCTTACTAGCAGAGTTAATTTGTCTGGAGATAACTGTTACCAGCAATGTTATTTCCTCAGCCAGAGGTGGTGTTTTCCTGTTGCTGCTTTATTATTTTGTAAATTCTGCTGCCAGGAGCCATAAACTCAGTGTAAACTTGTGGAAACAAATAGTAAAGAGGCGAGTTCCTGGAGTAGGGAAGGGGGAGGCTTCAGATTTCTTCAGAACAGCCCTTCAGAACCTTCCCACTTTGCTCCCTGCACTGCCAAGGCTGCCACTGAAATTCCTCTAAGTTGTGGCCACATAAAGCCAATTTATTGTGTGAAGGGTTGGCTGTGGGGGAAAAAAAATTGGGGTTTTGTGGGATTTTTTTTTTTTTTTTTTTGGCTGATGAGCTAATCTGTGGATTAGAGTGGTAATTATTGTGCACAGCGATCGTGTTTGCTTTTTGTGAGTGAGCTTGTTTACATGTGGGGCTCAATCCTGCATTTGTAAAGTGTCAGGCTGATGCTGCAGCTTTCCTTCCACAGCCTTTTAGAGTCAGCACAATCTCCTCAGATGGTTTTAACTAAACCCAGCCCAACAAGAAGAGACTCAGGAATTCCCCAGTGCTTTGCAGTTGCTCTCAAGCCCAGTGCTCCCAGTCTGAGAGTTCCTCATGCTGGGAGGTTCAGGTTGCTGTTTCACACAGGATTTCCATTCTCTCAGTGCCAGCAGAGGCTGGGAGCAGGGGGGACAAGTTGGATTTGGGTTTAAGTGTGTAAATGAATACACCAGGCCCAAAACATCTTTATTTCTGGCTTTCCAAAGGAATTTTTTCTCTTTTACCTGGTGCTGTTGTCTTTTCCACTAACTAGGCTGTAAGGCTCAGCCCTTACTCATGACTGGAAGTAAATCCAAATCCTCAGCTGGCTTGAGGATTGCAAACCAAAGCTCCAGCCTTTCTGCTGAAATATTTGCAGCTTTTGCTGCTTCTGCAGCCTTGGCAGCTCCTGAAGGTGTGGCTCAAGGCAGGCAGGGACTGACCCGTGAGCTGAGGTGCCAGAGGACACCTGGCAGTGCCAGGAAGCTTTTCCAGCTCCTCTTCCTCAGTGTGCCCAGAGGATGCTGTTCCCCTGCTCCCTCAGCAGGAACGTGACTTCTGATAATTCATCCTTCTCTCCCTGCTTTCACAGCTGCCTCACACAGAGGGTGAAAGTTTAAATTTTGTCTTGCATGGATTGTTTCTTTGTGAAAACAAACAAACCAACCAAAAAAAGATTCACAGAGAAATCCTGCAGCAGGTCTTAGGTGCTGTTTTCCTTCTGGTACTCTCCAAAGAACCTCATGAAAGTTCAAAACTTTAAATATTTTTGTGAGACTGTAATAGATAACCACTTCCCTGTAGCTACACGGGGAAAATGGGCTGATCCTACTAGAGGTGCAGCAAAATCTGCCAGTTTGGACACTCTTTTCTGCTTTTTCTGCTTAGAAATATCTGTGCCTGTTGGTGTTTTAAGACTTCATTTGAGCAAGCAGACAGCACTGACAACTGATCAAAATTAGGAGATTAAAGGATTTCTTGCTCAAAAAGGCCTTGCAAGCCACAGCCTTGAGAAGTTCCACATTCTGTGTGTACAGTCTCTAAGGGAAGCAGCTAAACTGATAAAAATTCACTTTTTGTTCCTCGAACTCTCTGCTGCTGTGTTCCAAAGGGCAGACAAGAGCCTGAATTTCCACGTTTCCCTTCATACTAGTGCCAGCATTCAGAGACTTGACCTGTTTTCCCCCATTTATGGCCTTTCCCTCATCCCAATGGTATAGTTTGTTTAGGGATTTTCTAGGGAAAAAATAATAATCACAGTTTCAATGTGTGGCAAATAGACTTTTTAGTGTCCAAACTTTAAATAGTTCGTAGTAGCTGCTAATTACTGATAATGGCTGTAGGTGAGGGTGTGTTTGCAGCCTGGGAAACAGAGGGGACATGCTCTGCTCCATCATTTTTCTGCTTCCCTAGGACAGGAATTTGCCAGGCAGGTGTGGGGGCTGCAGCCATGCCCGTGTGCTCCTCTGCCTGCTGCTCCAGCCTGTCACCATGGGCAGGAATTGGAGCTTTCCGTGCCCTGGGAAGGGAGCTGGACACAACCAGACATGGTTTTGTGGCCGATTCCACCTCAATAGCTTTTTTATTGGCTGTGTAGCAACAACTTGGTGCTCAGTTAAAGGAGGTCTGCTTGTTGGCCTGTCACTCTCTGGAGGGGGTGACACATCCCCAGCCTTTCCAAGTAAAGCCTAGTGAGAAAAAAGCATTGGTTTTGTCTGGGCAAAAAGAAAAGGGGCTGTTCTCAGCAAAAAGGAAAAGGCACAAACCCTTGCCTTGCAAAGTCATAAAAGAGGTTTTTCCTGTTTCATTCAGGCTACAAACGAGTGCAGGAGTCACACTGTGGTTAATCCCCAGCACACTGAAAAGTCAGGGCTGAGCTGAGCCTGCTCCTGCTCAGTGCCCAGGGGATCCAGCAGCACCCCCAGCCAGCCCCTTTGGGGGTGTCTTGTAGGACATTCAGAGGTGCCAGACTCTCCTCTGGCTGCCCAGCTCATAATGTGAAAATTGCTTTTTGCTTGGAGCTTTGTGAGCTCTCCCTCAAGAGCACTGACTTTGCCTGACTTCGGCTGAAAAAAGCAAATGGGACTGTGCCAAAAAGCTGCCAGTTTTTCCTGCACTGAGGGCTGGACACTAAGCCAGGTGGAAGAACTTCCACAGTTTTTGATTTTTACATTTTCTGCCAAAATGCTGCCAATTCCTCCTGT